ACACTATGTATTGTCTCTACTGTTCTTTTAAATTATTATTTTTTTATTCCCTTTAATGATTTGATCAATCTTCTATTTTTACATACAGTAATCTGAGCAACTTTGTTGAAGATAACAATGTATAATATAACAACCACTGGTAATCTCTATCATTTGGTTTGAAACCCTGTATCATTTCTAATGTCGTTGCTTTGTGTTTATATTTTGCTATTGTTCTTTTTGTACTAATTTCTTTTTTTTGTTGTTTTTTTTTTCCGGTACCGGGAGCCGTACTCACGACCTTGCGTTTGCCAGGCAGGCGCTGTGCTGCTGAGCTAAATCCCCAGCCCCTGTACTATTTTCTTTAAAATAAAAAAAGTAAAAAAAAAACAACAACAAAAAAAAAACAAAAAGAAGACTCAAATACTGTACATGCCTTTTTCTAGCTGTGTTCTATTTTAAAAATACATTCAGAATAGTTCTGATGTTGATATACTTTGCTTTATTATAATCTCTCAAAAATTGGCTATTTTCTAGAGGTAATGTATGGTAATTCTTATCAAAACAAAACACTGTATTCCCAGTTATTCTATGTTTTTGTTGTGTTGTGTGGTGCTGTGGTGTGTCTTCTTTCTCCTAAGTCTAATTAAAAATAAAATAATTTTAGGCTATAGAAAATACTACCTGTTCACTTTACTAATAACTCTTTTCTCATGCTTTCCTTAATTGCGGCCAAGTCTCCTCAGTAAGGTGCATCTTCTCTGCAGCATCCTCAAAGAGTGGTTGCCTATTTATTTGTATTCGTAATTCCTCAGTCTTAAGAGATTGGATCAGTGCCTTCCTCATACTCCATTGCTGCACCCAAATTCTGTCCTCCTCACCTTTCCCTTCTACTCCCCTCCCTCTCTCTGTCCTATTCTCCATCTCCATCTCCAGATTCAACCCAGAGCTTCACACTGGTTATATTTCCAGCTCTTTAGCTTAATTTTTAAAGAATTTGAGCCAGGGTCTCACTAAATTGTTAAACTGCCTGGGGATGAGGTTGAACTTGTGATCCTCCTACTTCAGTCTCCCAGAATGCTGAGATTGCAAGTATTGCCCCTCAGAATTTACAGAGAGTTTGTTTCAGAACCCTCCAACAGACACCAGAGTCTGTGGATGCTCAAATCCCTTGTAGAAAATGGTGTATATTTTCCCATAAACTATGTACATCCTCCCATATACATGAAATAGTTGCTATATTACTTACAATGCCTAATAGAATATAAATGCTACATAAATACTTGTTCTACTATATCATTTAAAGAATGATGACAAAAAGTCAGTACATGGTGTGTATGTAATTTTTTCCTAATATTTTTACCAGTGGTTGTTTCATCTGCACATGCAGAACCAATGGATATATATTATGCCAATCCCATAATTTAGGAAAAGAGAAACCTGTCCCTTCTTGCTGAAGTCATTTAGCTTGAGCAGTGTTTCTCAATAGAGTAAACTGCATGCCACTATCGCAATTTCTTGACATATTTTGTACCACTATTAGTACTATTTAATTTATTCTTAGAATTATTTAATTGTTTTACTTAAATTTACCTTAGGCAGATACTAATCTAGATGCTAATACCCGTGAAGACTATGAAATGTTCTCCGTATATTTTAATGCACAATATCCAAATACGTAAGTATTAACTTTTTAAAGTTTGTCTAGATTCTGAGTTGACAGTATAAGTGAAACAATTTTTTAATAGAACTGAAACTCGCTATAAAAACAAAAAACTAAACTAAAACGATATATGTAAATAACAGCATATTCCTATTCATTCCCACAATACCAGACCGCTGTGGTACTGGCAGCTGTGTAGAAAGAAACAGAGGCATGTCAGCTGTGCTTCTGATGACCCTGGAGCTACAGAACCTTCCCCCAAAGGACAGGTAATCACTGGAAAGTCAGTCAGACTCATTTGAGAACAGGAGTACAAGCGGAGGAAAGTATGTGTCAGCCCCAATTTATGGTGTTTTGAAGGGAAAAAGAACAGGGTACTCAGTGCTGGAGCAGATGGTGCTTTTCCGGTCTTGTCCTGCACGAAGAAGACACCCTTAGGAGGAAAGTCTAAATTAAATGGGAAAAGTCCACCAGCACAAACTAAACAGGCAGTTTCTATAAAAGTGGGATGGAGACGCAAAGAACGTGCACTTAGTAAGTCCGGTGGCGGAGTGTTTATCTTGAAAATGACAAGAGAGGGGGCTCCACACACGAGTCCAGGAAAGCTGGGTTGGCCCGGACTTCCATGGTAGTTAAAGAAGCAGTTCAACATGAGCAATAAAAAAGCAGTGGGTAGAGTCACTCATAAAAAGTTACTCTAAGAAATGAGGCTTGAGAGCAAAATATTCGTACAAGAGCACACTAGGAAGATCACAAAGTAAAATTCTAGACTTTTTTTCAAAATGAACTAAAAGAAATAAAGAAAATGATTCAAGCTGTGCAAAATCTTGAGAAGACTCATGTATTTATGAGCATT